TCGGGGACGCCCCGGGTTCAGCCCCTGTGCATGCAGCCGGAGACTCAAAAAGCGAGCCCCGTGCGCGTTCACGTGGATCCCCCGGCAAAAGACAGCACCCGCGCATCCAGCCGGCACCCACCAGAGCCAGCCCCTTGGCACGGAAACCGTGATGCATACCCGGAGCCTACGTATGCAGCTGAGGACCCGCAAATTCACTATCCCGTGTGTATGCAGCTTGCAGACTCCTCCTCAGAGCCAGCCATACAGTAACAGAATGTAAATGTTTTCACTTTATATTAATACTTTGTGAATTATTATTACTCTATAAACTGAATTAACCAAATAGCTCTTGTGTTAACATTTGGACAATTTTTTTGTTAACTTCTTGCTGAACAAGAAAGTCTGCACGCATTTCAGTCACTTCTGAACATAGTTTAATGAGAAGAGGGGGGAGGCAAGGGGGGGGGAAGAAGTTCATAATTAACCCTTTAAAAGGCAAAGCAGCAGAAATTAGACCTTTTTTTGTGCTTCGGACATCTCATTTTTGCATCACTATAATGAAGTCCATGGGTTTGTCCATATATACTTATGTGAGGGAAGAATCAAATTCATTAAGGCAATCAGCAAAACATGAAAGACCCCATTGCACAAAGACAAGGGGAAAGACTTCAGCCCTGCTAGTACCACTGCAGAAGTCCGAGTACCAAAGCAGGGAGCTGCCTGCTTGCTAGACGATGAGATGATCCTTCTGCAGGCATAAGAACAGGAGTTCACATCTGTGCATGCAGCTGGGTGCCCCTGCAGCACCTGGAACCCAAAGACCTCCTCATGCAGTTCCCATGCATTGGGGACCACCTTCCCCTTGTCCCCTGGTGCCCAGCCACTGGTCTTCAGCTTGGAACAGAGCGCTTCCCCACACGCTGGTGTGTGGGAAGGCAGTGTTCCCTGCCCCTATGCACAAAACTGGGAATTTACTGGGATCTCAGCATTGCCTAGTTGCCCACAGACTCCAGTGCCAGCTCCTGTGGGAGCTCCTGGGGCCCTTGCTGGCTCTTGTGGAGTATCTGTCCTTCCCCAGCAGGTCATGGGAATCATGAATTAGGGATGTCCCCACATCTGCACCATGCTGCGCACCTACCCATCTCCTGCACCACTGGCACAGCATTTGTGTGTGCCTGGCTGGGAAACATGTTTCCCTCATCTGCAGGACCACTTCCCCTTGTGACTTTTTGGAGTGTTATGCATGCCCCCATGCGATAAGCATGCATCCCCTCTCCTCTTATACCAGCACTCCCAGTCCCACTTCCACTCCTATCTTGCACATGAGTTTCCAGCATGGAGGAGGCATGCAGGTGCTTGCCTCCACCCCCAGCCATGCCCCCTCACCCTCTCTGTGTGGAGAACAAGCACCAGACAGATGGGGAACCCTTCTCCCCAGATGTGCACCCCCTGGAGTGTGGCTCTGCAGCATGTGGGTCCTAAGGCACCTCTTGGGCTCTGTGCCAGTGAACCATGCAAGGCTTTTCCCACCATGCTCCTACTGTGACTGATGGGTGAAATAAAGAGTGGGATGAGGGGGGTCTTTGGACACAGAGATGCATTGTCTGCTTGCCACCACTGCCTGCCTTGACAAGGATGTTAGCATGTGAGACCCTCCTCTCCACTGAGAAGGCGTGCTGGGACAGGGAGCTGGGCACAGGCCCATTTTAGTGTGTGATTCTCAGAGCAGAGAAGGAGCTGAGGGGGTTGAGCTCTGGCAGGTGTAGCAGTGGTAACTGAAATTGCATAGTGTCTGTCAGTACATTTATCCTTCCAGCCGCCCCGGGCCTGTCCTTGGCTCCATTTTTATGACTTTTGCTCTCACAAGTAAAATGGTCTCAAACCTGCCATAACCAGATTCAGGCTGCTGTGATTTTTCCTGGCACATGACCAAGGTTTCTGGGGTGTGCTGTGCTACCTTCTGCTGCAGAAAAGCTGGGATAGGTGGCAGGTGTAGATTAGCTGGACAGGGCTGACACAGATGCTCTGAGAGCTAATCCACAGGGACCGGACTCTGTGACAAGTATAGGAGTAGCAGAAGCTGTGAATGAGTTATGTAAGGAAATGTCAGGTAGTTTGGGCTCTGTCCAGAAAGGCTAACAGACATCCTGCTGGGAAGCACCGATAACCTTGTCAGCCACCTGCTCTTGCCTCTCAGTCTTCATTTTTATCTTTTTAGAGGGGAAATGGGTTATAGTTATTCCCATGTTATGTCCTTGCCAACTTCTGCTTGGGTAGAAATGGTTATGAATGAAGCAAGCAGGGTTATTTTTCCCCTTAAATCCTGCTTTCTATCCACAGCAGCTGCCTGTGCTTCCCGTGTTCTTGTAAAAATACCCACGGGTTTCTCCAGGAGTGTCTGCATCCTTTCTCCATGGTAAGAGACAGATAGAACTGAGAGATGTGCCCTCTGCTGTCTTCAGAAACAGGTCAGATTAAATGGGTATTGGGCACCATTTGCTTCCCCAAGCTTTGGGGCAACCTGTCCCACTTTCTCTTTTCCTCCTGTGCTTTAGATGTGGCTACCATAAGACAGTAAAGCTGTATGCTGCAGGGAGGCAGGCTAGGCTCCTCTTCAGCACCACCCAGAAAGGTCAAACGAATTCGGTAAAACTGCATTTGGGAGTGAAACATTTTTGTGACAGTTCAGACAATGCTCTTGCTTTAAGAGTTCTTCTGGTGATGGCAGGGGATTTGCTGTAACATTTGACTGCTGTGCCTCCAGGGATCACGAGCCGCAGCTGTAGTCAGTGGCAACCCACAGCCACAGAAAAATACCTTGCCAAGGTTGGATGCCTTGGATGCCTTATTTCCAGCTCTGCTCACGACCCATCCATCCTCCTGCTGCTGTTGCTTAGATCTGAAATGCCACTTTGTGCTCTACAGCCCTAAATCCTGGCCACTGCTTGAAGCAGGAGCATTGGCTTGTCGGCCAGCATGCATTGGCAGGCTCCACCTGGCTCCAGCCAGGAAACACCAATGCAATTTGCTGCAGTTGGAGATCTCCTCCCACCCCTCCGGCATCTTTCCATGCCAGATGAAAGGGCAAGGTTCTGCCATCTGCTGGTGCTGTGGAAGGAAGGCGTGGCCTGGGGCCAGCCTGCTCCTTTTACTTATGGGACTGGAGCTGCTGCGAGAGGGAGCGTGTTCCTACATGGGCTGCAGAGCACCTGCTAGAGCCCGGTGGGATCAGACACGGAGGCAGGCAAGTTTTTTCCGGAATGCTGAAGGCTGCCTTGGTCAGAGGAAGAGCTGCAGTTTGTGTCAGTCCAAGGGCAGGTTGGTTGTGGTCATAAACCGTGCCCCAAAGAATGCGTATGAAGGAAAGGTTAAATTTAGACGGCCCTGCTGGCTCCAGATGTGGGAGGCCCATGTACACAAGTTCCATACTTGTATACTTCTGTTGCAGTCACTCTTGATACCCAGGGAGAAGAGCTAAGTCTCAAACTTTTAGGGATGAATCTAAGAGTGTAAAAAAGCAGCAGTACAGCCTGGACATTCTTCCCCTCTCCTCAAACACGAGGCTTTTACGTTGTATTTCACAGAAAAAAGAAAATAGATCTTTCCAGCATGATGTCAACAGTCTGAAGACTTGGCTTCTTCCAGGCTCTCTTCCTCTTTAACACCTTCCCAGAGCAGCTATCAATCCCCCAGCCCCTCCTACCACAGCCAGCATCTCTTGGGTACCACTTCCTTGCTGCATCCCACATAGACTCCTGTCTGTTCTAGGATGCATTTTGCTGGTTGCTTCCCATTCAGCTGAACAAGACCAACTCCACACTCCCAAGCACCCAGCACCCTGGCTCAAGGAGGGGCACCCACACAGGATGGCCTATGCATTGTGTGTTTAGTTTATCTGTAAGTAGCTGCACAGCCCAAGACTGCCTTTTAAAGCAGTCACTTCCATGGTGTCATGCCAAGGGGCAAGGTGCCAGTGGCAGCTCATGCTGGCCATTTGCTCTGTGAAGAATGCGGAAGGCAAAAATGCCTTGTTTTCAGGGAAATGGTGCCCCAGGGTAGCAATGGCTGCAGGGGTAAGGTAGGGCATGTCTCCATGGCGTTTGCCAGACAGTGGCCCTTTGGGGATACCAAAAGTGGTATCTTTGGGGATACCAAAAGCGGTGGTGTAGTGTGTGGCAATGGGAAGCCAGCCAGATCCCTGCACCATTTTTTCCTTTTTTTTTTTTTTCCCTCCCCTCTTGCAAAACAAAAAGCCCACATGAAGTCCAGCTCATCTCCCCCTTCCTTCCCTCTCCCCTGCAAGTTCCATGGCTCAACCAGCACTGCCACCAGCCAGCACAGGCTGCTTGGGAGAAGTTAGAGATAGCCAGGTCCCAGCAGGCAGGGTTCCTGCCCATAATTTTGCATTAGTCAGAGCATTGTTTCTCCTGCTACAGCACAGGCCTCTTCTGGGAAGGTTTTCCATTTGCCAGGAGAGGCACAAGTATAGCATGAGAGCAAAAACACCTATTGCCTTTGCTTGGCAGCCCCGTAGTAAGCATTTCGCCATGTTTCTACATCTCTGTGTGGAAATACTCATCTGTGTCTTTCAGATAGAAGCAGTATCCTTTTGGAAGAGGCAAGGGGGAGGGAAGAAGTCAGGATCCCATGTAATAGATAAAGTTTTACAGGTGCTGCTGGACATCAGTGGTCTCTGGAGGATCCAGGACATGGGTGCTAGTACTGGGAGAAGCTAGGCAGAGCTGATTACTCAGAAGAGAAAGGGTGGGCAGGAGCCAAGAAGATGGTAAAAGGATGGGGAGGAGGAAGGCAGGTGACAATGACTAGCTGAAGGAAAAGGGGGTAATTCCCAGTGCTGGGAGGGGAGACTGGTGCTGGTTTTGGTTACCTGGTATGGGAACGCCTGTCTTTCTCTTTGGCAGGCATCACTCAAAGATGCAGTGCTATGAAGAACCACTTTTCCCAGCCAGTATGCGTGTGCTATGTCCCCTTCAACCTGATGAAGATGATCTACCAGGATGAATGGCATCTGCTCAAAGTGTTCAGCACAGCTCACTCCTTCTGGTGAGGCCTGTGCTCTCCTTTTCAATGTGAATAATGCGGCAATGAGACACTAGTTTGCAGAGGAGGAGGCTGAGGAGGCAGGAACCCACCGGGGCCCAGCCATCAGCAATTTTCACCCTCACTTTTACTTGCAGGCTGCTACAGTCAGTGCAGGAAAGTGTGAAACACCACACACAAGGGTTTTTAAGCTTGTTGAATGTAACCAGCTCTAAGCTATCTTTCACAGGGAGATCACCTCTCCCCTCACCTCTCCAGGGGTCTGCAGATACCAGCTTGAAAATCTGCATTCTGGTGTCACTAGAAAAGGTCCAGCAGGAGATGTGTCAGAAGCTGACAACAGAAGCTACGTGCTAAACAATTGCAGCAGAACCTGTCTGCATAGAAACTCCCCGACATATAGAAACCTGAGCATTTCTGTCCATCCAAGTTAATTTAAATTCTCAAAGGAAACAGAGAACAAAGAGTGTTATCACAGTGTGTCTGCATAAAACCATGCTGCACCCACACCCTGAAGGTCATATGGCTGAAGCTGTATGATTATATAGTTCATATGATACTGGGAAGTTTATAGCACAACTACAAAACCACTAGTTTGTAGCAGCCTTGCTACGTTACCACTTTCTACTTAGAGGTACTCACTCATAGGTCTGGGATTACTCCTACTGTGGGTCTGCCTGGCATGGGCCAGCTGCACTCATGGCTACTTCTAGGCGTCACTCCACTTCCTCCTGCAGTGGAAGGCTTGTCTGTGGTAACACTCACTCTTAATTTCTTGGGCTTGGTGGAAACAGACTTGAGAAGGATCACAGCTGGATTCCTGGGTATAACTGCAGCTGTTCTTCTCTGCAGGTGCATTGTGGCAGCAGTCAGCTTCTTTTGGGAGGAAAGTCTCACCCAGCCCGTTGCAGGTTTGCTGTTCCTGACCACAAGTAATGCGTTGTTCTAGCATGCTAATTATGGATGAAGGCTTCACCAGGTTTCCCTTGGCTAGGCAGTGTGTGCTGCCAGCAAGTGGAGCACACCTTTCCTTCTGATCTCCAGTTACTGTGGCTTGCATGAAGCAAGTCACTTACTCATACAAGTGGAATAATCAATAATTGGAAACAAAAAAAAAACACTGTGAAAAAAGCTCTAGGCCTCAGGCAGCGGCAGGAAAGGACCACGGGGCAAAAACAACTGCTCCCTCCTCTTTATGTACAAAGCGATCTTTCTCTTCTCCAGCACAGAATGGTCGTTTGCTGCAGTTTGCAGTCTTTGATAGTGGACTAAGCATTTCTTTTAACACTGAAGTAGGAAAGAGGAATACTTCAAAAAAAAAAAAAAAGAAAAAGTCTTAATCATAAAATTGAGAGGTTGCTTAGACGGTGGAGGAAAGGTAAAATCCATGAACCAAACCCATTATGAGTTTGAACGATCCAAACTTACAAGACTAAGCACAACATCTTCTCTTGTGCCAGAGGAAATATTTTGATTTGAGCAGCTGTAACGCACAGCACAGCTATATTTTTTTAATACATTTGGAAAGCACAGGCCTGAGGAAAGGCTCATTGTGCACGGCTAATTCAGCTGCTTAATGAAAAACAAAGCCTAATGAAAAATGCTTAATGGAAAGTGACCCAACAGAAACCCTACGCTGGGAGAAGGGTGTCAGCAGAGAGCAAGATTTAGCCTGAACCATTCCTCTGTAGAGGCAGATTACCTGCTCAGTAACCTCCAGATCAGATTACACACAGAACATGCAAAACGACTTCCCCGGCTGCTCTGAGGTGTGCAGCAGGCTCTGCTCCCATAAAGAGGATTCGACTTCAAAATGCCAGCTTGTGCAATGTGATTGTGTCCCATGGGTCAGATCTGATCACAGATGGAGGCTTTGGCTATCTTGCTCTGTTTGAAGGGCAGGTATGACTGAAGTCACAGAGGAAACTCTCTTATTCTTAAAAGTAGCAACAAGAAGTTTGCTGGATACAATTCACAACCACAGAGCTAGGCCTTAGCCTTGCATAACTGGGTAACACACAAAAACTTCATGAATGCCTGTATCCTGTATAATCACCTGTGTCCTAACCAAGATAATTTATAAAGTTGGGTGCAAATTATTTGATTAGCAAGGCCTACCATTTACTTTGTTACTCATGCTATGCTATCTCAAAATAATCCAGTTACTTCATTTATAGGAGTATTTGCACTATATCTCTGTGCACTTATGCAGCCAGCATATCATATGACCTAAACCACCTCCCCACATTTGTCTATAATCTTCCTGATGATGTAAAGCACAGGTACAGCTGGTCTGTATTTTGTGCTTGGTGCAGTCTGGGATTTACAGTAGCAGTCAGGTGTCTTTGCTCAGCGTTAGTAGGGGCAACATTATGCAGCTGAAGTCCACCAGAGACGACTCCGTATAACTGCCCACGTGCCACCAACATCCTTCAGTGATGGCCGAAGAATATTTTTTCAGGACTTACTCAAAGAAGCAGAAGTGAAGGAAAAACTAAACTCAGGATTCCAACCACAGAAGTCTGATTCGTCAAAATCTGACTGTCATGTTTTACCGGTTCAGCAAGTTCTTCTCTCATGCAGCCCAGCAGAGAGATTTCAGAAGGAGACAGCTCTCGGAGGACAGATATGGCTCAGGATGAGATGCTTCATTTCAGCATGCTAAGTCCATGCAGAGGAAGATACTTGCACTGGAAGGTAAAATGGGCAGGAAAGCTGCTATAAGAATTTAGGGCTATTTCTATTTTTCAAGGATATGTACATAAAGAAATTAAGGAAAAGTCACTGTTGCCAAATGAATCCTAGCCAGATTTATATGCCCTTCGCTAGGGCATCATCTGTAATATCTTAATTCAGCACCCTCTGCACTTGACCCTAAAGCAAGGCTTTGGTGTCCCTCTCCTCCCAAAATGCTGAAACAGAACATTTTCTTTTAAATCAGCATGTACCTGTGTCTCTTTGTGTATCTTTGCACATGAAGTTCCTGTGTAATTTGTAAATAACCAAGATTTCCATTCTGAGCACCAGAGCTGCACTGTGAGGTGTAATTTACTCCTGGCCGTTCCTGGATGGTCTTTTGTTACAAGGCATTTATCAAGCTACACTGTCTGCAGTAAAATACCTGCCCCTGTCAAAAGCATTTGTGACAACTGCAATTTCATGGCTTGGAAATATTGTCTCCTGCAAGGCAGAGAAAGTTCATAAACCAGGAGGGTCATAGCCTGGACAGTGCTTCCACCAAGCATCCCGACAAGGCAGTGCAGCATACTGGAGGTAGAGCCCCAGAGAACCTCTCCTGCCTGGGCCAAGAAGAGGGATGGGGAGATGCTAGAAGGCAAGCAGCTTTGCATTTTCCAGTGCTTAATGGCAGGGACATGTGAGTTAACAGATGACAGCACCACACTGATCTGTCAGATAGCACTCAAACTGACAGAGCCAGTGCCTACAATTAAAAGACTTCAGTGCTCCATTGATGCACCTGTCACAACTCATCCAAAGCTACAATTCTCTGCCATCACCTAAAAGCCAGTGTTGCCCTTGATGCATGGCATCCATACATTCATTACCAGACAGTGTTTCACATCTGCTGGGCACAGGGAAAGATTTGGCCAAGCCCCTGGAAGATCTCCCACGCTGCCTTGCAGGGGACACAGGCTCTGTCAGGAAGGCAGCAGACACTGCTGACAGAGCAGAGTGATCAGAGAAGCCAATTCTGCAGTAAGGGTGGATGGTACAAGATGAACACAAAAGGGAATGGAGGGGGGAAAGCGTCAAGTACACAGTACTGTGAGCATAGGGCTGGGACAAGAAAGAAGAGTGGTGTGAGAGAAAGTTTGGTTGAAGGGCAAAGGGGTGAGGGAGGTGAGAGGCAAGAGTGGTGGAACAGAGAAGTATTGCCTTAACACAATAACCATCAATTAAATGACAGCAGAAAAAGTCAGTGCCAAATTAGTCTAAGAAACACAATCACACAAAGTAGACTAAAACCCAACAGATCAACTAATTGATCTGGGAGCAATCAAGATGCCAGGAAGCAATGGCAGGAGAAACCAGCATCAGCACTAAGAACAGCTTTGGGGACAGCCTTTCTGTGCTTGGCTTCACCACTGAGCAGCGTTTCTCAGCAAACAATTAGGTCCTGTTGGAGTCAGCTCATACCTGTTTACGTGGCTGTCTTGTCATACACAGATCGAGGCAGAAATACTCTCTCCAGATGTTTTATACATCTAACGTGACACCGAGAAGGTTTAACTTGGTTCCACCTCAGGTGAAAAGCACAAATAGCCATAGGCTATTATTTAGCATACTAAACTGGAGAGTGGCTACCATAATGAATGGTAGAACTTCTGCCCAGAGGGGCCTCAGTCAACTTGAGAAGTAGCACCTTGTGGTGTTCAAGGAAGAGATGAGCAGAGCTCTGCACATGGGGTGACACAGCCCTGTGCATTCAGCCAGGCTGGGAGATTCAAACTGAGCAGCAGCCCTGCTGAGAAGGGCTTGAGGTTACAGCAGATGACAGGCTAACCATTAGCCAGAAGCATGTTCATGACAGATAAGACAAACAGGCTGCACTAGGAGCCACATGGCTAGCAGAGCCAGAAAAGCAATTTTTCCCGCCTCTGTTCACAGCTGTTGAGGCCTCACCAGAACTTAGGTCCACTGTTAGGTCCTCCAGTTCAGGAGGGATGTGGGGAAATGGAAAAGAGGCCAGCAAAATGGTTAGGGGCCTGGAGCACAGTGTCTGTGAGTGGTAGGAGCCAGGCTCGGGTAGTCTGGTGAAAAGGAGGCAGATGGGGCATCTACCAGGAGCCTGTGACTGCTTGAAAGGCAGTTACAGACACGAGAGAGTCAAACTCCTGCAGCATCAGACAATGCAGCGAGGGACAACAGCCACAGATTGCAGCTTGGCAGGCTCATACATAAAGAAAGCTTCTGCCCTAGAAGGGTGGTGTTCCCTGCGACCTGTACCCAGAGAGACAGGGAACTCCATTCTTGGAGGTTTCTTGCACAGTACAAGAAAGCTACAAATTCCCAGCAAGAGATCTTCCTGTATTTGTATATGAAATCCCCAGCTGACATAATCTAGCATTGGCAATAGGCCTGCTCCAATGGGGAGGCTGGAGGCCACCAGAGGCCCCTTCTCACAGGCATGACAACTGTATTGAAAAGACACTTCAGCATTGTATAAAGGTGTGGGGGCTCCACGAGCACTTCTCAACAACAGTAAGTTTTAGTCTCTTGAAATACAATGAGCCTAAAGATTAAAGTCTCTTCCCTTACCCAGCCAAAGCACCTTGTCAGAATGAAGAAAAAAAAAAAAAAAGCAAAAAAAAACCCCCTCAAACCCCAGACACACTACTAATCATATCTCCATACTAATCACAGCAGAGGAATACAATGCAGAAGTCCATCTTAGTTTGCCAAGTTGCAAATGCTTGTCCAAAATCGCATCTCAAAGCAATCTGCAGTCATTCTCTACAAAAATACTTCCCTGTTGGCTCAGCAGCCATGGGAAAGCCTTGAATTAGACTGTTCCTCCCCAAATACTTTTTGCATGGTCTAAAAGAATTGCTAAGACCTCTCTCTTTTCAGAAGAATTTTTCCCTGTGCTTGTTTTTTTGCAGGCAGAAGTCACAAGTTCATCCACTTGTCAAGCTTTTCCATCTTCCACACTGTGCCCTTGGAGCAATATTACCAAGCAAGAAAAAGCATTATTTTTCATAGAAGTAAGTCTCTTCACCCTAAAAAGCTAAAGCATACCCATCACACAACATGCAAATGCTGCAAAGAATTAATACAGAAAATAGTTTATTTTCCACTCCAAGAGGTCTCAATAGCAAGCTTTAAAATCAGAATCACACAGAATCATTAAGATTGGAAAAGACCTTTAAGATCATCAAGTCCAACCATCAATCCAACATCACCATGCCCCCTACACCATGTCCCGAAGCACCACATTCACATTTTTTTTTTTAATACTTCCAGAGATGGTGACTCCACCACCTCCGTGGACAGCCTGTTCCAATGCTTGACCACTCTCTTGGTAAAGAAATTTTTCCTAATATCCAGTCTAAACCTCCCCTGGTGCAACGTGAGGCCATTTCCTCTCATCCTATCACTCATTACTTGGGAGAAAAGGCCAAAACCCACCTTACCACAACCCCCTTTCAGGCAGTTGTAGAGAGCAATAAGGTCTCCCCTCATCCTCCTCCAGATTGAAAAATCCCAGTTCCCTCAGCCGCTCCTCGTAAGACTTGTGCTCCAGACCCCTCACCAGCTTCGTTGCCCTTCTCTGGACACACTCCAGCACCTCATTGTCCTTCTTGTAGTGAGGGGCCCAAAACTGAACACATTATTCAAGGTGCGGCCTCACCAGTGCCAAGTACAGAGGCTCAATCACTTCCCTACTCCTGCTGGCCACACTATTTCTGATACAGGCCAGGATGCTGTTGGCCTTCTTGGCCACCTGGGCACACTGCCGGCTCATATTCAACCGGCTGTCAACCAGCACCCCCAGGTCCTTTTCCGCCGAGCAGCTCTCCAGCCACTCCTCCCCCAAGCCTGTAGTGTTGCATGGGCC